ACACAGCTTCTGCTGGCAACAAGCTGAGCATATTTTCTTTAGTTGACTAATTCTTGTTTATTTTTTGAAGGCTGCTGCTATAAAATTCACAATCCAATTACAATTTCCAGGCTGAAAGAATGGCTTCTAATTATATTGTTTTCCATCACTGCTAGAATCATTGCAAGAAAGAGTAGATTAATGCTATATGATTTCATTCCCTGTACGAGAATCAGATCTCAGTGTTCTCAAATGATTTATAAAAGACACATTAAATAAACTATTAACAGTGTTTTTGCAACAGAGATGGGCTGTACCATAAACAGGACAAATTGAAAAATACAGATTTGCTGCTGTGTTTCAATGCATGAGAAATGAGGATAACACAGCACATACTGAGTAAAATGGTATAAACCTGAAATTGGAAGCAAAACTCAGGTGAATTTTGAAATGTGGGACTGGGCTTGAGGAGAGCTGGCTGGTTGTCTGGCCTGGCAGAAACTTCCAATATGACTTTGAGTAAGTCAGTGGGCCAAGGGGAGGAGGGCTGCAGCTCCAGATTAGAGACAATCTGGTTGTCTCCTGCATTCCCCAAGCACTCAGTTCTGCCTTGTGTCTAAACTTCAGGAGATGGACATGGCTCTTGCCCCAAATTCCATGTTTCAGGACAGGGCTGAACCAGAGTCTAGGCTGGCATCTATGAAGCTTCAGCTGGATTTACTCCCAATTCATCTTTACTGTGGAGAAAAAAAAAAATAAAATTAGTGCCTATCTTGAAGAAACATAACAGTTGCCTACAGAAAGATAAATAAAATACATCCAGTTAAATGACCGAGATGATTAGAGACTAAATCTCCTGCCTGTTGCTTCTCCTCCTTGCAGCTAGGGCTACAGTTAATGACAAGACTTGCAGCCTGAAAGCAGAACAAGACAGGACAGCATGACCTTGAGCAAGACACAGTCCTTCAGGCTGTGAATCTTTCAGACACTCGTACAGGTGCACGCATACATCTGCCTCCACACACTCAGCAGCTGTTTCCAAGCACAGCTCCAAGCCCACAAGACCCCTCGCAGCCTCTTCCAAGCACAGGCTGACACCAAAGACCCTCAACCAAATCGGTCTCACCCTACAGCTCTGCTCAGAGAAGGGGGACTGGCCCAGTGGCACTGCTCACCCACTTCTCTCTAGGGAGTCACCAGTTGGTGACTATTTCATAGGTGTTTGCATTACACACTAGTTGAGTTTGTTTGTTTGGTTTTTTCTTTTTCTGTTGTAAACAAAAATATTATTTTTAGGCCTGACAATTCTTCTCTCCTTCCTGACAACCCCACCTCTTCTCCCCTTCTTCTGCCCTCCAGCCTTGGGCAACTGAATAAAAGCAAAAAAAAAAAGAGAAAAGTCAGAATTGCTAAGCCCTTGAAGAAACAGTCTAAACCATTTCTTGTCCATTTCAAAACGAAGATAGGAATTTCTCTAGGGCAGGTCCCATTAGACTGCCAAAGCCACACAGTTCAGACATACTCACACCAGCCTGAAAAACAAGAAGAAATTTCAACATCACGGGCATACTGAGAACACAGGGAGGAAAACCAGCGAGGTTCCTTACCACCTCTCTCCAACTCCCATAAAAGGTTATGATCATTAATCAATATAACATCCAGAAAGAATAAAGTAGCAGCATTTTGTTTTCATCTTCTATTTCTCTGGCACATTTTGAGCCCCTGAGTTCAGCACGGGAACCAAAACCACGTTTTAGTGTCAAAACCTGCCACCTAGAGAGCAAAACCGCAAATGAAAATAGGTATGTATGTAGGTTTTTTTAACTCTCTCACAACATTACAGATGCGCTGAAAACTATAAATTTGCCGTGCCGTCTTTTACAGCAACAAAAGAGATTTTAAGAGACCCTTAATTATGTATCTGCACAGCCCAGACTTCGTTTAGGCTATTGCGCCTGCTCCCAGCACAAACACTGCTGTGTGTGGTTTAGTGATTATAGGACAGAAAAAAAGTTTTTTCTCCCAGTTCTATAATTTGATGTGGTTAGCGTGAACAGAGACCCATCTCTTTGCTTTTGAGATTGCATAACTGTCGCAGAAAGCAAAGTCAGTTCTTAATGAGAAGTTTTGGGTGGCAGTGAACTGTCGGGGTCTGAGCCTGCCAGTGAGCTAGGGATGCTCAGCAGGTCTGACAAATATCAGGCTGAAGACAATATGAGCCAGAAAGCCTATGCTGCAACCACCAATAAAAGAAAATGAAAAGTTTATTTTTTTTTTAAAAAAAAGTTGCAGTGCACTTCTGAGAAAGTTTCCTGAGGTTTTCCACTGGAGTAAAACTTTCAGATTTCCACTCCTAGGAGAATATGCTGTTCCCATCTCAAATTCAAATGGAAAAAGCCGCCAATCTCCCTCTGAAAATGGACAGTGCTGCAGCATTTCTGAGTGAAGAAACATCTCCAGAATTGCAAACTGTGATTCCAGGCAAACTCAACACTAAACCGTATCTCACAGATAGGAGGAAAGGGGCTATGTCAAAGTAACCTCCCCTTAAAAATGCTACCTATCAGGTTTCAATTCCTGCAAAAATCATTTCCAGAACATATCCAGTCTCAGGGCTCCCATGTTTCTTTTTTTTTTTTTTCATTTGTTTTGGTGTTACGTCTGTGGAAAACATCAAACCTGGGCTCTTCATTCCTCACCAGCTGTTTCTAGCTGTTTCAAAGGCAGGGGCAGCCCCAGCACTCACAGCCGTGTACAGATGCTCCAGGAGGAACAGTCTGCTGGGTAGAACACCCCGAATCTGCTGCCTGTCACCTTTTCATCGGTGAGCTTCAATAAATTAAATAAATATTTATTAAATAAATAAAGAGTATAATTTTAAGTACAAAGGTACAGAGAGTAACTTACCACTGTCTCCTCCAAAAATATTATATAATAAAACATCCTGGAAAATAGCACAAATATGGAAGAAAAAAAAATCAGGCATGAATACATTCCAAAAATCCCAAAAGGCATAGTACTCATTAAGTATGACAGACCTCTAATCAACCTCAGAAAAATGTATTGACATTATCAAACTCAGGGAGAACCTATTAGTGAGAGTATTAGGTACCATGCAAACAAATATTGTCCAGTAAGAAGAAAAAAAAGCACAAAGTAGATCTGCATCCTCTTCTCTTCGTTCAAGAAAATCAGTGTGGCAACGAATTCCCTTGACCAAAATGAACATCTAGAATTTTCCCTCAACAGTGCACAGGATTTATGGACAGACACCATTGCCAAGTCTAGATCAAGGAAAAAAAGGACTGTGTTATAAAACTTAATGAGAACTCAAACGGTAACATTAGCAATGATTCCCTTGCACATAAAAACTACTTACTAAGTTATAAGGTAGTGACAGGTTTAAGGCTCAACACTAACTTAGCTTTTGCCTTTAAAAAGTAAAGAAATTAATAATTTCCCAGCTCAGATTACTCCAAATATTTATTCACAAGCACATATGATATTAAATGGATGTGAATGTATTTTCCGGAGACACACCGTCATCAGCAATGTAAGAGGCTCTAATGATATTTGTCAAGTGCGCATTTTTAGGCAGCAAGAAAAAACTGTGAAAACTAAGCCTTTCTACCAGACAAGGCCAGGTTTCTTCCCCATCCTTAGGTGACACTCGGTTCCAGGCTAGCACAGACTGCTGCCCCAGGCTTGAACTAGACCAGGAAGCTGCTAAGGTGGAGCACCGGGTGACTGCTGCAAACACGAGAATCAAAGTCACATTTGTAAACCCACCCTCTGATTTCAAGATACAAGGAAACGCTTCTCAGGGGACAATGGTCATCAGAGTTTACAGCTGTATTCTAAAATAGCTGGTGCCTCTAAAATAAGCTTTGATGGAGCAATTCCTTGCAGGAAACTTACTACATCTCAATTATCCTGAAAGGTCATCTGTTAGGACACTGGTGGCAACAATGCAATTCAGGCACTTCATCAAGAAGCATCCCCCATTCCAAAATTGGTGTTGTGGAGAAGCTCACCACTACAATGAGTCACTTTGATAAGATAGGCTGATAAGATAGGCTGCAATATCCTGACATTCACTGGTGAATAACTGCACTCTTACACACCCTGAGACACCTCAGCACTAGTATTTCTCTAGTTAATGGGCACCGTTTGGTCTTTTTGCTCCAGATTAAATCAGGCACCAACAGAAAACTGGGCAAATCTAGTGACAAAATTCCTATCTGTTGTCATAGGCTCTATCAAATGATTTACTACTCAGTACTGCTTTCAGCCGTCTAGTGACAGGATGCCAGGTTCATCTTTGTAAATCATACCGAGGTGAACAATGCAGCATCTGGTCTCTGTGTCCTAAAGCCTATATCATCTGACTGATGCCTGACCGTATATGAAGCATATTAACACACACTCAGTGCAGTGGAGGTATGACCTGTCCTTTTATGCATTTCGTCAGGGCTTAGCCCTAGGAGCTGGCCATGATGGTTTACAATGGTTGAAGAAATGTCAGTCAAGATACCTGCCTACTGCTCACATTACGAAGAGAAATTCCACAGGCATTTAAGTAAGAAGAGTTTTAAACAAATAACGACACAAGTTTTTGTAACAGCACCTTTATGGAACACAAGGTTAGCTTTAGACAAGTGCCAGGTTACATGAATTTTCAGTCCTCTATATAAAGAAAGCAATCTTGGGTTTAGTCCATCTTGGGGTTTAGTCCATCTCGATAAAACTTGTAACACTCATTTATAGGCACGGTGCTTGGGCTATTTCCAAAGTAAAAAAAGGGCTTTCCATTACAGTGCTGGGAGTGGTTAACAAGAAAGATACCTTATTACATTCTTTTCCAGTGAATAATAATTGTCTTCCATTATGTCCTAATGTTATTAGGATTTCAGAACACACAAGCAATGCAATCCTCGTTAAGATAAAGAAGAAATTAACTTAATGTAAGCTAAAGACCAAATCATTTTCATAGTTACAGACAATTTTGAATATAAATTTGCATGGGAACTTAGATTCATTTTTGTAAATAAAAATTCCATCTCTCCATACAACAAACAATTCCCTGCCAGTAGAGGACTACACTGTGCACAGCTGAGCCTTGAAAAAGAAAGCCTGGACTTCAGGCATATCCAGCTACATGGATCAACAAGCAACCCCTTCAGATCCAGCAGCTTTGGTTTAATGGACGGAAACTTTGGCCTAAAGTTCAAACATACTTGCCAGCAACAAACAAGACTGGATTTTTCAAAAATAAAGCAAAGTGTGATATATGCATAAAGTCAGTGCCTTGATCCTTAAAAGCATCTCTATAAGCGACTTGACCTCAAAATGGGCAGTGCTTAAGTTACAAAAGATTCAGACCTTCAAGGCTGATTATTTTGTTTACGACGGCTGAAGAAACGGCTCTGCTTCAGGAATTCAAAAGATGGATCAGATTTAGTAGTAGATTTATTAATTTGCTGTGATTTACAATGAGGCAATAATGTCTGAACCACGGAGACATCAAAACAGGTTTAGCCAGGAGGTTTATGGCTTTCAAGTCAACCGGTGTCAGTCATTTGGGCAACTGAAGATCAGCAGACAAAAGGTAAGCGGAAGCCAGGTGCTGCACTGATGTTCTGGAGGCAGTATTTCAAAGTGTCTTCTCTTACAGCAATTTCCTTTTCTCAAACTCCTGCAAACGGCACACAGACATTACCAGTGGGAAAAAGAGAAAATGCTTCGATTACTATTTTATTTAAATTACTTATGCATTTCCTCTAGCTGTGAAGCAAGGCCTTTTTTTAGACCTTTTCTTGGATATGAATTAAGAAAAATGCAAATAATCCTATTCCATAAGTTTTTCAGCTGTATGCATTCAACCATAGTTCTGAATTAGTACTTAAAATAGATAGACCTATATGCCAAGGCTTTCCTTCCTCAATTACCCTACTTTCAAAGAATGTTTTAATATTTTTGAATTAATTCAGGTTCTTTGCATCCAGAAAACACAATTCAACAAGACTCTGCTACACTTGAAAGCAAAATGTAATCTCTTCTCTATTTTGCTATGTTTACTTTTCTATAAAGGCAAAATTATGTAAAACTACGTGTATGTATTATCTAAGTAAAAACTGCAGCTTGTTCAGTCAATAGTTTAACCAAGTTCAGAGCAACAGAATATTTGGGTAAGAGATATACTCCCAACTCGTATTCCCTCAAAAGCAGCTTCTTGCTCTCGATGAGTATGCGTAACAATTTTCAAGCAACAAACCTTGTAGATGGTGCTACCTAGCTGAGCAGGAGACATACTGACAACAACACCAGCACTCTGAAGAGCAGCTATCTTCTCTTTAGCTCCACCCTTTCCCCCAGCAATGATTGCTCCAGCGTGACCCATCCGCCTGCCTGGAGGAGCAGTCAGACCAGCTATGAAAGACACTACTGGCTTGGCATTTGGACCCTGTAAAGAAAAGATACAGTTTTACATGAATAGCAGAATTATAGAATCACAGAATCATAGAATGGTTTGGGTTGGAAGGGACCTTCAAGACCACCCAGTTCCAACCCCCCTGCCATGGGCAGGGACACCTCCCACTAGCCCAGGTTGCTCAAAGCCTCATCCAGCCTGGCCTTGAACCCCTCCAGGGATGGGGCATCCACAGCTTCTCTGGGCAACCTGGGCCACTGCCTCACCACCCACACAGTGAAAAATTTCTTCCTAATATCTACCTAAATATACCCTTTTTCAGCTTTAAACTGTTACCCTTCATCCTGTCAATACACCCCTGATAAAGAGTCCCTTCTTTTCTCCAGGCTGAACAATCCCAACTCTCAGCCTGTCGTCATGCGGGAGGTGCTCCAGTCGTCCAACCATCTTCGTGGCCTCCTCTAGACTCACTCCAACAGGTCCATGTCCTTCCTGTGCTGAGGACTCCAGAGCTGGATGCAGCACTGCAGGTGAGGTCTCATGAGAGCGGAGGCAGAGAATCCCCTCCCTCAACCTGCTGGTCATGCTACTTTTCATGCAGCCCAGGGCATAGTTGGCTTTCTGGGCTGCAAGCGCACACTGCCAGCTCATGTTCAGCTTCTCATCAGACAACACACTCAAGTCCTTCTCCTCAGGGCTGCTCTCAATCCATTCTCCTCCCAG